ATCTCAGAAATATAGACAGATACTGAAAGGCAGTAATGTTGTAATAAATATGGCAACAAAGATGATGAAATAGTCCGTTTAATGTAAATAGTATACATAATTCCAGAATCTCAGAAATATAGACAGATACAGAAATTATTGAAATGTTGTAATAAATATGGCAACAAAGATGATGACAATAGTCCGAATAATGTAAATAGTGTACATAATACCTCATCTCAGAAATATAGACAGATACTGAAAGGCACAAAACGTTGATTTTAAATATGGCAAAAAGATGAGGACAATAGTCCTATTGTTTATAGTGTAAATTCATAATACCTCATCTCAAAAATAATCAGATACTTAGACATACGTTGTAATAAATAAAAAAAGATGAAACAATAAATATAAATTTAAATTTTTTAAAATGAAGGACAATATAATGGCAATGCGTTTAAATAGGCAAACATACATATACTCAATCTTATGAAATATAGACAGATACCTCAAAGGCCATATAACAGTTAAAAATAAAATGTAATTAATGCAAAAAAAAGATGAGGACAATAGTCCGAATATTGTAAATAATGTACATAATACCTCATCTCAGAAATATAGACAGATACTGAAAGGCCGAAACGTTGTAATAAATATGGCAACAAAGATGAGGACAATAGTCCGAATATTGTAAATAATGTACATAATACCTCATCTCAGAAATATAGACAGACTCTGATGGATATTTTACCTTATTTTGGAGTAAAGAAACCCACCCAAAAGTTTGTAAAAGTATTTTTGGTTTGAATCTTGGATTGTACATTTAACAGCATCTACTGTAAACTTTAAACTTAATAACTCAAAAACGAAGGATTTGTGGATATATGTCTACATGGATTTTTGTCCCTGTTTTGGTGTGAGGAATCCACCCTCAAAGTTTGTAAATATATTTTTGATACACCCTGTAAAAACGGTGCCTTTCTTGACAAATTTCATCTTAACATCAAAAAACTGATTAGACAATGGGAAAGAATTAGTGTAAAATAAAGACATAATACGTCAATATTATTCAAAGAAAAATGTTTAAATGAAGATATGCTGCCTAAATATACATATTTTTGTTTTTTTTACAGTAAGGTTCACCCTTCACAAGGCCCGTGGGCCACTCAAGATAGAGGGTCACATTTGGAGGCCATTTGTGTACATAGGAGCGGAAGATAATGGTTAACCCTAGCCGTGAACAGATTGTAGTGATCAGAGAAACAGGGCAGTGGTTTGTGAGAAGCTGCTGCTCAAGTGGAATTTACTTCTCACTGATTGAATACATAGGAAATGTAGGTGGTTTGATACTATGTAAGTAACATGGTGTGTCCTTGCTGAGAAGGTTGGACTTGGTGGGACCAGGAAATATAGTTCATCAGAGCACTTTCTGTGGAAGGAAGTAACAGTAGAGAACTGAGAGGTTTGCCATATTGGGAGAGAGTTTAAAGGTTGAAGAATAATACATCACTCAGAAAGGCTCAGAGATGCTTTTGAACTCTGGAGAGTAAGGTCTGGACATCTACAGCCCAAATCTGACAACAGTACTCCATTTTAACCCAATCTGGGTCTTGTAAAGGCAAAGGATAACCAATGAAGTCACATACTTACTGGAGCAGTACAGGGAGCTGACCATTTTACCTACATACTTAGCAATGGATTCTTCATACAAATTCTACTTTAGTTTGGGTGTGAGCTTGAGACCCAACAGTCTTTCAAAGCATGATGCTACCCTGAGAGGACCTTCGTTTATCCTGATTGGTGGTAGTTCGAAGTCAGATTGGCACTCATGGAAAGTAACAATCTTAGTCTTCAAGGCATTGAACATAATCAACCAGTTGTTATCCCATTGGGTAGTTTGTACAAGATCAACAGATCCATTATTTTTATGTTACACCTAACCGACTACAGCTCTATTAGAACTCATTTAAGCACACAACCAGACTTCATTCGAAACATACTAGTAGAAAATACAAGCATAATAACCTCACCCACATGTAAAAAAAGATTAAAAATAATGGTTGCCTTAATAATAGAAAAGAAAAAGCCAACACTCTATATGAACACACTCAAACTGTGCTGTATTCAGAAAATAAAAAATCCTTATAACTCTAGATATATACACACAATCCATACATTCAGCTGAAAAGTAAAAATAAAATCATTCTTGATAACTAAAACTATAGCTGAAAATTCTCAGAATTACAGAACATTTGGACTGTTTCTAAACATTCTGTGTCCAGAAAAGAAAACACTTGTTTTAATGCAAGAAAAATTGAATAAAAAGCTTATTCGCAGTATCTTGTCTGTTGTTTTTAATGAAACATGCATAAAAGAGGAATTGCTGCCTAAATACACAATTATATATATATATTGAACAATATAGTTCATGCCACTTTGACAAAAAATTTACCAGTAAAAAAGAATTCACTTATCACTATATTTGTACAAGAACGCACAATCGTAAAATTTAAATTCAAACTCAGCGTTGCGACTGCACACTCCAAAAACAATAACTCATTTCTCATAGCATTTTTTCGGATTAACAATACATATATTTTCATTGTCCTTGGTATTACTGAGAGAAAAAAAAAGAACAAAATCTATTCCATACCTGAGGATGTCTGTAGGAACAGACGAAAGCTTGTAAAAAAAATAAGAACTTATGCAACAGAAATTTATAAAAAACAAGGATCTTTTCATTCATAAATAGGTTCAGGGTTTTTGTATATTATTTGAATTGTTCGCGACGATGGATTTCTCGCCAATTAAATCATTAACCTTTGTATTTGTTTTTTGTATGAATAATTCATTTCAATATATATATATATATATATATATATATATATATATATATATATATATATATATATATATATATATTATATATATATAAATAGTTCTGTTACTTTTACAGTAAGCACTGTTTTTTCTTACACTATAGAGTATTTATATTTATTTGTATGCCATCATTCACTTGTATACCTAACTATATTTACCCATTCGATTATATATATATATATATATATATATATAGTATGGCCTCTCCTGTCATATTTGACATATGAGGACCAAGCAGTTCAGTTCCTAGGAACCAACAGCCAAACACCAGCATATATGATTTGATTATAGTGGTGAAGGCTTCTTGCAGAACTGAGTACACTATTTGAAGGATTGGATACAAAGACCTGGTGCACTATGTGACACAAGGTCCTCAAATGATCCTCTGCAGGTTTTGAATTCAGAGTGGTCCTTCACCTAGACCAGTTGCCATCCAAGGCTATAGAACCAAGTCTGTCTTGCTATTTACCCATAGCTGGAGGGAGAAGATGAGGATTCATACCTTTCACAAGGGTATTAGCACATAGGTGAATGTAATGACTGGAATTCAAACTTGTTTCATCAAAAAATCTAGCTCATTATGCCTCCATATATATATATATATATATATATATATATATATGGAGGTTTGGTGGTGGTGTAGTGGATAGTGGCTCAGATTGAGGAATTGGAGAGCCGAGTTTGAATTTCAGATTTGTTCATCTTCTAGACTGGTTGTCCCAGTATGTGTCCTTTAGCAAGGGTCGAGTGGGGGATGTGAATTAATACCTTTTTCCCAGCATATTTTGTTCTCTTTTCTGCAAATATACCCGACTGGAATTTGAATCTGGCTCCCCAATTTCAATTTCCTAGCTGCTAAACGTTGTACTACTTGCATGTTCGGCAATGAAATACTCCCAGCCTAAATTAAAGAGTGGATAGAAATTTCCTGAATGTTTAACAGAAGGGTAGGTGATATGAAGATGCTCCCTGGTGGGTTTTTATCCCCAAAAGGATTGTTTTGGCCCGTCTATTAGAAACTGAATGCTATCAGTATAGGATAACATGAAAGTGCGTGTTTGAAGGTCACCTGTCTTTACAACATTCAAGTAGCTGTTAAATATCTTCTCGTTACTACGGCTAATTCAGTTGGAAATATTTACAGCATACAATGATTTGGAATTATGTTTCTTCTCTTAAAACCTGCCGTGGCTGTCTTCATTCCACCCCTAAAAATAGATGTTCAGGTCTTCCAGCTTCCAGTAAGTGGCTCTCACAAAAGTGCTACAAGTACGTTCATTCTCGGCACCATAGAAATTTGTTATCTTGAGAAAGCAATTTGGAAACAAGAGGACTTTAACAGACAATAATGCTATTCTCAGCATCTCAGTGTTAAAAAAACACAAGGCCCAAGTGTCACTCAAGGTAGATTTGAGTGATTCATTCATTTTCTACAGCTTATCAACCCTTTGCAAGTTATTTAAAGTCAGAAAACATTTTTAAATTGTAAGAAATTTTCTTTTCAAGATAATGATGATTTAATAATACAAGTCTTTCTAATTACCGTATTTGACGGCATATAAGTTGCACATTTTTTTTACTGAAAATATCTTTTAAAATTCCCCTGCATCTTATATGACATATGTCGGTTTACTAATTTTACTACTTACTATTTGTTTTTGATTTGCCTTGCTGACCCCCGTGCATCTTATATGCCATCAAATATGGTAACCCATAGGTGGTGGGAGAAGTGGTAAATTTTTACCTTTACCAAGGGTATTTGCACATAAGTGAATATAATGAAACCAATGTGAAGTAGAACTCGGCTCTCCAATTAACAATTTCGAACCATTATCCATTACATGATGTGCACATCCATGCTTATAGCACTTGGTGTTCACAAGCAGTCACCTATCTAGGTACTGACCAAGCTTGACTTTGCTTAACTTCTGTGATTATTTGTGTACCTATGTTTCAAAATGATGTGGCCGTAATCACATTAAACCATCTGCATATCCAAGCTTACAGCAACTGGTATTCCCAAGCAGTCACCTATCTAGGTACTGACCAGGCTTGACTTTGCTTAACTTCTGTGATGATACGTAGGCCTATGTTTCAACATGATCTGGCCATAAGCGCATTAAAGCATCTGTATATCCAAGCATACAGCAACTGGTATTCCCAAGCAGTCACCCATCTAAGTACTGACCAGGCTTAACTTTGCTTAACTTCTGTGATGATACGTGGGCCTATGTTTCAACATGATCTGGCCATAAGCAGATTAAAGCATGCACACATCCATGCTTACAGAACCTGGTATTCCCAAATTGTCACCAATCTAGGTACTGACCAGACTTGACTTTGCTTAACTTCTGTGATCATACGAGAACCTATGTTTCAAAAGGATGTAACTGTAATCCCATTAAACCATCTGCATATCTAAGCTTACAGTAACTGGTATTCCCAAGCAGTCACCCATCTAGGTACTGACCAGGCTTAACTTTGCTTAACCTCTGTGATTGTATGTAGACCTATGTTTCAACATGATCTGGCCATAAGCAGATTAAACCTTCCACACATCCATGCTTACAGGACCTGGTATTCCTAAGCAGTCACCCATCTAGGTACTGACCCAGCATGACTTTGCTTAACTCTGGTGATCATATGGGAACTGCTGTTTCAACCTGATGTGTGCATAAGCCACTCAAGGTAGATGGTTACTTAATGAGATTATTGCATAGGCATAAAAGGAGTGAGTAAGTGCAGATTAAGATTATATGTAGGATTAATAACAGCAGGCCCTAGAAGAGGTTAAAATTGTAGTCATCTGGTAAGTAATTGGAAGAGAATTCCACATGCAAGAAGTGTGAGAAAAGAAACTGTTAGCATAGAACTTAACAGTTACATTGTGCCATTTCAAATGTAAAATAATGAGATCTTGCAACCAATCTGGGTACTGCATATAAATTCATAAAATCTAGGTACCATAGAGGAAAGTTCATTAGAAAAATTACTATGAAAGTTACTAAGATGCAAAAAAAAACCATTATTAAGGCTCTCTTCCAGTTCCTTTCATACGAACGCTGGTGTTTCCCAAGGCTCTATCCTGGGTTTTATACTGTTTCTGATCTTCATCAATGATCTTCCAGATGTCATCAGCTCTCAAGTAGGCATCTATGCAGATGACACTACCATTTACTCCTGTCTCAATAGTAAATGCTGACAAAGTTAACCTGGTCATTGGTCTCAAAAACAACCTCTAATCAGTGGTTTACTGGGGCAGGAAATGGCTTGTAAATTTTAATACCTCCAAAAGAAAACTGCTCTCATTTAACCACCATAGAAACTTTCCTGCTTCCTATCAGCATGGTTGATGCTTGACATCACAAGAGTATCTCCCTGCATCTTCTTGGCCTCATGTTTTTCACTGACCTGAAGTGGAACAACTACATTAAATCAATTGCTGCATCTACCGCAAGGAAATTTGGTTCTATGTGTCATGCTAGAATGTTTTTCTCATCTGAGTTCATCTTACACATCTACAAATCTACTATTCAGCCATGTATGGAAGACTGTTACCATATCTAGTCTGGTGCTCCAACTGTTCATTTCAATCTTCTTGAGAAAATCCAAAGACGGATATGCAGTGTGATCAGTTCTGACTTGGAATCTCTACTTCATTCACTTTCCCACAGATGTGATGTGGCTTCCCTCTGTCTTTTCTACAACTATTTTCATGGCAAACGTTGCAACGAGCTATTTTCCCTGATGCTCCAACTGCATGAATTTAAGCATGCTACTAGGTTGGCAGTTAGGTCCCACCATTTTACTGATGAAACAGTTAAATGTAACCGCCTCTTCTACTCTAACAGCTTCTTCTCTTGCACTTCCCGACAGTGGAACTCCCTTCCTCTTACTTGCTTCCCTGATAACTATAATCTTCAAATATTCAAATGTAATGTCAATTGACATCTTCTGATGCCTTGATCCCCGTTCTTCCTTTTATCCTTTCCTCAAACAACCCATACTCTTTTTTTTACTTTCACTCTGTGTATCCCCATGCGTACTCATGGCACTCCTGCCTTGCTTGGGGTGAAATGCTTAAAAAAAGAAAACGAGAAAGATAAAAGAATAAGAATTAGGAAAGCAGAAGATTGCATCTAAATTTTTTTATTCCACCTAAAGCAAGGCAATAAAGCCACTAAGACGCAAGAGTTTATTGAGTGTTAAAGAATATGAGAAAAACTATTATTAAAGCGAGAGAAAAATAAAAGAATAAGAATTAAGAAGGCAGAAGATAATGATTGACATTGCATTTAGTATTTTTTATTCCACCACAAGCAAAGCAATAAAGCCACTAGGATGCAAGAGTTTACTGAGCGTTAAAGAATATGAGAAAAATTGCTATTAAGGAGAGATAACAATAAAAGAATAAGAATTAAAAAGGCAGAAGATAATGATTGATATTGCATTTACATTTTTATTCCACTACAAGTAAGGCAATAAAGCCACTAAGACGCAAGAATTTATTGAGTGCTAAAGAATATGAGAAAAACTATTATTAAAGCGAGTGAAAAATAAAAGAATAAGAATTAAGAAGGCAGAAGATAATGATTGATATTGCATTTACATTTTTTATTCCACCTCAAGCAAGGCAATAAAGCCACTAGGATGCAAGAGTTTACTGAGTGTTAGAGAATATGAGAAAAACTGCTATTAACGAGAGATAACAATAAAAGAATAAGAATTAAAAAGGCAGAAGATAATGATTGACATTGCATTTAGTATTTTTATTCCACCTCAAGCAAGGCAATAAAGCCACTAGGATGCAAGAGTTTACTGAGTGTTAGAGAATATGAGAAAAACTGCTATTAAGGAGAGAGGACAATAAAAGAATAAGAATTAAAAAGGCAGAAGATAATGACATTGACATTTAGTATTTTTTTCCACCTTGAAGGCAATAAAGCCACTAGGATGCAAAGTTGACTTGAAAACCAGAAGATAGAAAAATGCTATATCAGATACCTTTCTGGGAATTGGCAGAAGATGATTTTTATTCTTTTGAAGATCAAAGTTAAAAAAATGGATTGAAGGATATACAAGTTCTGGGTTGATGATTTTGTGTTTGCTTTAACAATGGATTGTATATACAAGTATTACAAGTGAAGTTGAAAGCCAAAATATGAAGCCACTTTGAGAGTTAAACTGTATATAAGAAAAAAGTTGGGGTCTGGATAGTGGTGATGAAATGATATCATACTGTTTTTGTTAAGGTTATTGAAATGTAACACATCAGTTTTTTTCTTCCACCTTTAAGCCATTGGTGCTAGATCAGAGCAGAGGTCGAAGGCAAGGCACCAATCATCTTGGTTTTTAGAATTTTGACTGTGAACAATGTTATCATCTGCATGGACATTTACTAGTGACTTAAAAATGTTGAAAAGAGTAAGATGGAGAAACAGATATGTGGAACGGAAGAGAGAGGGAAGTAGCTTAGATTAAAAACAAAAAAAATAGGCAGGTATTTTTGAAGCAGTCTTAAAATAAGAAAGAATTCACAGGTGGGCCTGGTTACTTGGTGAGGATGTGCAGTAAAATGATACTGAAGCATTTGCTACATCTGGATATCAAGGATGGCATGCAGTTGCGGAGGGTAGAGAAAAGACAAAGGAATAAACAACAGGAATTCCACCATTTTTTTGTGTTCTTGCTGTTCACACATTCAGATCCAAAATGGAAGTAAGAAAAAAAAAACGACTGAAGAGAAAAAATAAGTAAAAATAAAAATAAAATTTCAATAAATAAAACAAGGAAGAAGATAATAAAGATAAAATCTGGCATGTCGTTGTGAGAGTAGAAGTATTGATTTGTTTTTTATGGCTTATCAACCCTTTGCAGGTTATTTAAAGCCAGGACATATATTTAGATTGTAAGAATATTTTGCCTATAATAATGATTTACTAATACAAGACATCCTGAGTATGACGATAAACTACATCTGCATCCTGGGTAAGATGATAAACCATATCCGACAGCAAGGCCTCTAATCAGGAGGTTTTGAGGAGCATAGAACCACCTCTTAATTGCTGGTGTTTCCAGGTCTACCCTAACCAGGGGTAGTAGCACCTGTTAGGATCCCAGCTATGGGTAAATAGTTAAACCCCAAACTGGGGTCAAAACATGTAAAAATAGGTTTTAATATCAGCAAAACATTTTTTTGCTTTATTAGCAGCAGTAAATTTTTGAAGAAAACATTATTACCAGCAAAACATTACCAGAAAAATATTATTACCAGCAATATACTTTTGGAAAAAATATTACCAAAAATACTTTTTGGGAAAATAATATTACCAACAATAAAAATCTTGTCAGCATTAAATAACCCATTAAGATTGATATACCGTAAAACAAACCAAACTAAACTAATAGAAGTTCTGCTAATTAACCCATAGCTGGGGGGATAAGAAGTGGATTCATAACTTTCTCAAAAGTATTTGTGTGAAAATGAATATAATGAAGCCAACTGGAATTGGAAATCAGATTTCAGTTGAGAGTGGATTAGAAAGAATAGAACGAAAGCACTAACAAGAATTGTTCGCATCAATGAAAGAAACCAAAAAAAAAAAGAAAGTGAGAGAGAAAAAAAAAAAAATAGAATAAAAGAACATGTAAGACGCGAAGATAAAGAACAGAGAAATACAATAGGAAAAGTTCATCCACAATGAGGATTGACATTCGTTAGACCATCAGTAGCACACCTAAAACATGCCGTCCTGGGTATGACGATTAACTACATCTGCATCCTGGGTAAGATGATAAACTATGTCCAACAGCAAGGCCTCTGATCAGGAGGTTTTTTTTATTTATGGAACCACCTCTTAATTGCTGGTGTTTCCAGGTCCAACCTGATCCTGTGAGGAAGCACCTATTAGGGTCCCAGCTATGGGCAAATAGTTAAGCCCCAAACTGAGCTCAAAACACTATGAAAGTGTAAAAATAGGTTTTAATACCAGAAATACTTTATAAAAAAATTATTACTGGTGATACATTATTCCCAGCAATACATTTTTGAAAAAAAAAAATATTACCAGCTATACATTTTTGAAAAAATATTACCAGCAAGACATTTTTGAAGAAAAAATATTACCAGAAATATATTTTTGAAGGAAAAAAATATTGCCAGCAATACATTTTTGAAAAAAATGTTATCAGAAACATATTTTTGAAGGAAAAAAATATTACCAGCAATATATTTTTGAAGGAAATGTTACCAGAAATAGATTTTTGAATGAGAAAATGTTACCAGCGATACATTTTTGAAGAAAATGTTACCAGAAATAGATTTTTGAATGAGAAAATGTTACCAGCATTACATTTTTGAAGAAAAAATATTACCAGAAATATATTTTTCAAGGAAAAAAAATATTACCAGCAATAAAAATTTTATCGACATTAAATAACCCATTAAGCTTGATATGCAGTAAAAGAAACCAAACAAAAATGAAACGAAGCCTAAAAGATGTGCATGCATCAGCAGATCAGTTTTGCCAATGATTATCAATAAAAGAATGAACTAGTCTGCCAATGCTTCTCTGTAGTTGCATGGATTTTGTATCTCATGCCGTGTCTATAATGGATCATGGGCTTGTTTCCTTGGAACTAAAAATATTCCATCATTCAATTCTCTCC